TTTTTTTTTTTTTTTTTTTTTTTTTTTTTTTTTTTTTTTTTTTTTAATAGGTTGCTTTACTTTATTCTTTCTTACCTCGTTTTTTTTGTGTTTATTTCTTACCCAAAAAAAAAAAAAGAAAAAAAGAAAAAGAATATTTTTTTCTTATTATTTTTAAATTCACACTATTTACTTGCCCTCGATGGTATCTCACTATTTATTTTTTAAAAAAAATTTGAAATCTGTTATTTTTTTCTTTCTTATTTGATTTATTCATTATTTTGTTTTTTAAGTAGCAACTACAATCTCAAATATTTTAAAAATTTACATTTAATACGTAGCTTAAAACTTGGACTCAAAACTATCATATTAAAAATTTCAATGTCGTTCTTCAAGTTCGATCAAACAAAACCTCACAAATTGTCCCATCACTAAAAGACATTGTAATCTTAAATACGAAGTACATTTCTATACATACAACAAACTAGGAGTACAGTTCGATTGTATTACAGAGACGGGTTAAGTAAAAAATGACTTGAAAACAGCTTCTCACATTTAACCAACCCAACGAAAGAGGTCAAATTAAAGCCAATAAACTGAATTAAAATTCAGCGATCAAATTTGTAATTAAACAAATAGCTCATTGTTTCAATCAAACAATGGGTGGGTGTTGGGAGGGTGACAGACAAGGGAGATTATTTCATTGTTATATTGAAAATGTAGTGGAGAATGAACTCACGAGCTATGTAACTATACCAGCAGAGCAGTAGTATTAAGCCCAAGGCCACTTGGCCTTTGTCCAAATGAACTCACGAGCTGCATTCTCACTGTCACAATGGTCTATGTCATTCCCTCTTTTCAGTTCTTGATGTTTATTTTTGTTCGATCCAATTCCCTGGCAGCATTGAAGTTGTTGATCACGAATTGTAGCATCTGTCTTGTATGAAGGGTTGGTATACCTTGGATGTTGAAGAAATTGTACACCTTTCCACCATAGCTTGAAAGCCTGGGGATCAGAAACAAATCTCAGTCAGAATCAAGAAGATAATAGAGGTAAACTGACCAAAGGTTGGGCATAGTAGAAGACAGAGCCAGCATTCAGCCAAATGGTTAAGGGTTCAAAACCTTGCAGGTGACCAATTTGGGGTATGGTTGTAAACATTTCCCAAGTCTCACAAGCGTTAAAAAGTGAAAATTCAAGCACTATTATTAGACATGGAAAGAAGCGAGAGGATCATATAGTGCAAATATAACCTAGTCAGGCTCTCATATGTGATGACATGACAATGAAACAATGAAGGCCTCACTCAGTGCTTCGAAGTCTGTATGTCCCTAAAGCACGAATATCATACAAGGCCGTGGCAACCTTAAAATAGAGAGGATATTCTCAACAAGGAGCCAGATAAATAATACGGCCTTGAGATTGAGATATTGGCAGGGATTCATGATATGAAGCAGATAGCTTTTATTGGAGGAAGAGCCATAGTGGAATCTGTTCTGGTTGCAAGAGGTCCAGTAGCGGGGGAAAGGAGAAGAAATGAGTTTGGGTTTTCAAACTAGACTTGGAAGTGGCATCGGGATCTTCTTTCAAGAAATGAAAAGAACAAGATTTGCCTAAAGTGGTTAATGAGGTCAAACTCAAGACTCTTGGTCTTTCTTTAAGAGAAGCCTAAAAGTAGGATTTTTTCCACTTGAGACCAGTAGGATCGCTCAACAATGTACACACTCGAACTAACCCAAATAACAGGAGAGAGTAAATTCAAGGAAGAATATTGGAGAGAGAAAATTCAAGGAAGAATATTGGCTAAAGGGAGAATACAGAAACAAAGAAAAATACATTTTGAGCACTACGTGTATATTTATGATTTCAATTTACTAGCTTCCAAAGATTTAAACCTAAATATAACAAATATATCTCTATCAAATCTTTACCAAATATCTACCATATAGATCATCTTTACCAAATATCTTCCAAATATATCTCTACCAGGTCTAGCTCCATATCCGACAGAAACTCCATTTCTCTTGGTCCATGACTTATTAGAAGGCTAGCAAGTAAGCCAATCTAAGCATGGTTCAACTTAAGAGGTTAGAAGTTTGAATCTTCACCCCTTAGTGTTATTGAAATAAAAAGAAGATTACTAAGTACGTAAAGACATTATCCATTCAGCCCACTCATAGTTTACAAACAAACCTAAAAAGATCGGGAATTTTTCTTGAAGTCGTCAATTTGTGAACCAATCTGAATTTTGAGGCAGTGAAATACATGGTAAGAAAAATTTTCTGTGTAGCGAGGTGGGAAAGGTATAGCCATTTGGTCGACCAGAGCAGTTACTCTTCGTCCATCCAGAGAAGTTATAGGTATTGATAATGTGAAGAAGAGAAATCTAATGTTGACAATGGATGAAGGGAGGAAATTCATGGTTTGGCAAAGTTTCATTGTTCTTCTTGGTGCTTTCTTTCAAAATCGTTTTGAAACCATTCTTCTTTTGCAATTAACTATAATTGGAGTGATTTCTTGCAAACTCTTGATAGGAATATGGACTTTTTGCATATAAACTTACCCTACACCGGCGACAAGCATCTCCTAATCATTTAGATAAAGATGAAATGATGCATTTAATCAAATGGTTCTAGATAATAGGTTTAACCACTTGATCTGGAATACGACATGAACATTAAGCTGTTGAAGAAGACAACTAATAACAAGTTCAAAAGTTACCCAATTCCACTTACATGCCAATATATCCATATAGCAACTTTGTGAGGCATCAGATAGAAGAACATCGAGTGACTAGATCCAAAAGATGGGGACACCCTCTTTACTTTCAAAGTGGCAGTAAAGTAGTCACCAAGTTCCGGGTGCTGAACTGAGATTGCCACAGATAAATACTCACCAGGAGCACTTGCTTTGATACTCCAATTCCCAAGCATGTCCTGAAATTATGAACATGTAACGGCAAATAAAACTACAGTAAACCAATTGATTGCAAGTGTCATGAAGATTGGGAGCGCACGCATCTATGCAAATGGCAGCTAGAAGAAAATGGCTATAGTAGTTATAATTGAACATAAATTTTCAAATGGAATGTCATAAAGAAAGGGAACAGAACCAGCAAGACTTACCATAAAAGGACTGACATGCAACGGCTTAGCGATTAAATCAGAATTTGGATTGAAAACAAAGATCACTCTCTCACCCCATGGCGTATTAGTTACCTAAACAAAACAAGCATCTGTTTGACTTCAATTTCTTCTTTGCATTTTGAAACATGGCTTATACTTAATATATGCAAAACATATAAAAGAAAGAAAAGAAGATGCCTCAGCTATGCATTTCTTCAACTGCTGCGCGGAGCCTTCGATTTCGTAGCAGTAATACAAACTCAACGGATTTTGTTCATATCGCACACTGGATGGAATCGTCAGAAGAGAACTGAAAGTAACATTAATGAAACAAAGCTTCAACAAGTCATTTCAATCCAGAAACATACTTCAACATCGTAAGTAAACAATGGAATAAATGCGAATTAAGAAGATGAGAGGAATCAAGAAATTACACAGGTCCAGAGGTAGCAGCTACTCGGCGAGCATCGTCGGCAGAGAGGTGATTAGACGGAGGGGAAGGCGAGAGGTCGAGGTCAATTAGGGCATAGCGAACAGCGTACCTGAAAGAATGGTGGACAGGGCGCCTTCGCTGGTGCCAAACAATACCTTCATATAAAGTGACAGAATCTTCTCCTGTTCCGGAACCGGGCGGGGCAGTGGTACGGGAGAAAAGACGGCCGACAAAGCATCGGAAGTGGAGGAGAAGGGAGAGGATGAGAGAGGTGAGGAAGGTACTGACAATGGTGCCCAAAAGATAAAGCGCTTCCATTTTCTCCCTCCACCAATTACCTTTTTGCATATATATATATAACTAATTAATTAAAATGGTGCCAACCACATTTCTTACAAATTTACCAGAAAAATTTCGAGCTTTTGATGTCTTAAATATATATATATATATATATATATATATATATTTTTTTAAGTGTTAAATAAATTACTAATTTATTAGGTAAAAAATTAAGAGGGACAAAATAATAAAAATAAAAATAAAAATAAAAACTTGAAGATTTTGGTTAGGTGCTTATTAAAAAAATATTATTAGGAACTAAAATTACAACATAAATCTAAGAAAGTCAACGCCAACGACCCACGTTACAAACCAAAACCAACCTTTTGTGGGCTTTTATAAAGGAAAGCCCATAACTGAAAATTCTCGGTCGGCCCACATCATATATCAAGCCCAATTAAAACATACGGCCCAAAACCGGCTTAGAAAAGAAGGAATGATAAAACAACCCAAAATCATCTAAAGACGCTATTTTTTACTCACTCGAATGCGTATTAATCATTTTTTATTTCTTACTTTCTAAGTCTAAATATTAACACAATTCAATTAAACTATATAAATCACTAAATTAAAGCTAATAAAAAGATAATAATTAAAACTACAAAATTTAATTGACCATTATTAGGTTAAGGTAGTCTCGACCTCCTATACTATAATGATGAACTTTAAACACTTTAAAAAGTTATTCCAAACAGGTTTTAAGTCAGTATCTTGGGGCCGATTGCTTTCGGGCATGCACATGCAAGTTGAAGCCCGTTCCGGCAAGTGGATCAATCAAAAAACGAGGAAATTGGTGTGTCCAAAGACAGAAACAGGCAAATGAATGGTAATTGAGAGACAATGTTCATGATGTGTCGAGAACATGTAAAAACCTGTTGTGAACGAAATGACGTTGATGGATGATCCGGTAGAGCAACAAATTCAGGGGCGAAATGCCCAACTTTATTATCAAAATGGGGCCTTTTTCTCATATATGTTGTCGGCCGACCACTTTTCCGGCAAACCTTCATTGGTCGGTGCATCTTGTCCATAGTAATTACCCATCTCACCCTTCACACCTTTTGAGATTTTTAAGAGGTGGGGTGAGTTTTAAACAATCTTCTTACTTCGGGTTACTTTATGTATTAAAAAACAAATTAAAGGTAATATTTTAAGTAGTAATTATCCTGACGTTTGATTTCGTTCGTATAGTAGTAACAAGTGAGTATGGGCATAATAACGAAGTAACGATTGGAAGTCAATCGAGACAAAGTTCGACCTTAAAGAGAAATGATGACTTAGATATTACGTTAGAGAGACGTATTTTAAATAGCATGTAGAAGTGTTGAGAAGGCTATCGAAAAACCGACGTTTGGATAAGAGTGAAAATGACCTTAAAAGCCCTAGTGTATGCGTGTGGATGTGCGTAGATTACCGGTTATGTATGAAATGGTGGATGAGGAATTTACAATAGGAAGCGATGAAGGGGAAGGGGGAATGGGCCCACACATCAACACAAAATGAAATTAGATAAATATAAGGATACTAACATGTTGGCATGAAAGCAACTAAATTGGCGTTTCTTTTTCCTTCGCTTAAATTTTTTATTTTATTTTGTTTCTCGGGGCGAGGGTAATTTGGTCATTTCAACAATCTGAGACTTACCCGACAAAAGGAAATGTTTTCTATCACCTTTTTATTTTGAAGATCGTGAAGAGTGCGATATTATGTCAATATATAAATAATTTAATATCGGAGTTTTGAAAGAGATAATAAGTTAATATTTTGAAAAATGAAAAATACAAAAAGAGTGATAATCCATGAAGCAATGGTAGAGGAAATGATAGACATTTATGATGAGATGCGTAAATGTAGGGATTGGGAAGCGACAGCAGCGGAAAAATGAAGCTGCGTGAGTCACAGAGTTAGCAGTAATGTGGGAAGAATAATAGTTATTTTATTATTATTTTAGTCTAAAGGGATGACGTTGTTACCAATTATCTATGCAATCGTCTTATACCCAAAACTGTAGGCACTCCATACCCACCCAAACACTTACACAACTCTTCAATTTCTCAAGGGCCTCCTTCCTTTTTCCTTTTATTTTCTAACCAATACCTCACTTCCCAACATCTAGATAATACGTCACCTCCCGATATCTGAAAATATACAATTGTAATATCATATAATAGCCCAAACTCATCGTTTTAGTCCGTATCACTACCAACCTCACGTTCTTAACACGCGAGTACTAGAAATAGGTTTCTAACACTTTTACCTCTTAAACCATTCCCTAGGGCTCATTTGTAACTTTTTATTTTGTATTATTAAAAGAGGGAGAGATGGGTGGGGAGGCTTTTTTTTCGGCCTTCAGTTGCAGATTTGTTGGCAATAAATGCAATAATATAAAAAAAAAAATATAAAAGAAGAGAAGAGTGAAAGGTGAAAGGGCAGAAGAAAGAAGCCATATGGCGCCGCAGGCGGATGGACACGGAGGGCGCACGCACACCCAGGCTCTGCCTCTGTGGGCTGCCTTACATTTTTATATAAATGCGGTTGTTTGTGTGGTTGCCTCATGACATTGAACCTGATCACCATACATTTTTTGGGGATGGCTCCTTCCCTCTCCTACCAACCCTAATTTCTTTTTAATATAACTTAATTTATCATACTGGTAACATTGTAAAAATCTTGATTACTTTATTGCCATGCATAATTTCCAAGAAATCTTTTTAAAAATGATCCCAAAAATAAAAGATCTAAGCTGGGATTTGATTTGGCGAATTAGATGGATAAATGTGTGGGTGAAAATTTGTGGACACAAAAAAATATATAATAATAAATAAAGGTTAAGTTATTGGGATTGAAGAAACACAGATACTTCCCTTTCCAAATTCCAACTTCTGCAAAAAGTACTTTTTTATTTTTTATAATTTTTTTATAATTGAGTCAAACATTGACTTTTTACTGGCGGCTGCCTCAATTCAGCACCCTTTTATTCATTTTCATTTTTTTTAATTAATATTATTAAAAATAAAAAGAAAAGAAAGGGAGGTTTTTGTAGAGTAGCTAGACAACTTAGGACACGACGGGCAAGTGGAAGTGTTATTTATGTTCCCTACGGATGAAATTTCTACTCGTTCAACTCATGGGTAATATTTAAAGTTGATTGTTTTGGATGAAATGAATGAAGGTCGAAAATAATATCATAATTCTAGTAAGAGTGATAAGGTTTTTGAGTGTCGCATGATTTCCAAATGTGGAATTTAATTAACCAACCGACCAACATGGTTTCACTTTAATAATTATGTTAGGGGGTTATATTAATTCCATGTAGATTGCTTTTTTGTTTATTTTACCAAATTTACCCAAACAGCCATATTTTCTGCATCAACTGGGCCCCACAACCTCATACCCAATATTATTCTCTCTCTATCTTCTTAATATTATCTGCTCCATTTTTTTTTTTTTTAAATTTTAAACCGAAAAATTCAAATCAGACTCGAAAAGAAGCGTAAATACGATAAATATTATTATTATTATTATTTATTTTTTTACAGAAAATAAACAGAAACCAGCTGAGCTCGAAATCTACGGAACTGTCCAAAAGCTACAAGCTGGGCTTCCTCGTCAAATCACTCAATAAACCAAAAAAAAAAAAGAAAAAAAGAACAGAAACAAAAAGGTAATTGGGTTTTGAATGCGAATACGGAGAATCCGGGGACCTGTCTCAATGCCATCCCTCTGGTAATTTCTCCCTTTTTCGCCTAAGAAAATCACTTTCGTTTGATTTGTTTGAATCAATTAAGCTTGATTTTGCAAGTGTTTTGCGTCGACGAATGTCCCGTGGAAGCCATAGGGTACTCTGGATGGCAGCTTCACTGTAGCTTCCACTTTCAAATCCATGGCGTTCACTATCTGTAGCTCTGATTTCCATGTCCTTTCATCGTGGACGAACGCTAAAATGTACCCTTCATCTTCCTTCTCCCCTGAATTCCCTTCTTTCTGTAAAAAAAACGGCTCCCCACCGAATTTTCTACCGCCGTAAATATGCTTTTTTACCTCCCCTGTTACTAGATCAACCTTCGCGAATCCCGAAACCTTCGGCCATGGCTCTGCAATCGCAAGATACGCATATCGGGTTTTCCGCCCCAGACGGTTTCTATTCACCATTCCGGCTTCTAGATTCACCTGCTCCTTCTCATCGCTGATAATTGGGCGGCGCGTGGATTTCCCCGTTCTCAAATTCAGCCGAATTTCCGACAGTACGCTTTTTAAATTCTCGTCGCACTCATTGAAAATGGAATCCGGCGGCGTCATGCAAGACCCAATAACCACGACCTCCTCTGTCTCCGGCTCCTCCCAAGCATTCCACAAATGGAAGCAGAAGGTGTCCGGCGATTCCACCCAGATTAAATCATCGGAATTTGTGGCATTTTTAGGGAGAATTCCGAATCGGGATTTCTTGTTCTTGTCGTAAATCACCGGAGATCCGCCCTTGAGCATTTCTTGAAGCTTGAACACGACTTGCTGGTCGGGGATTACAACGAAATTCTCGGTGATGGCGAAATCGTGCATCATGGTCGGAGTTTGAAGAGGGATTTCAACGTCTTTGGATTTAATTCCGTCGGGGGAGAATCGGAAGTACTTGAGATACGGCTTCCGAACGACGTCGTAGCTTAAGGCGTAGAGCTCTCTGGAGACTGGGTCCACTTTCGGATGTGCGATCATTGTGGAATCAAGCTGCGTGTTGAAATCGTAACGGCCTACAGTTTCAAGGTCTCCTGAAGGCGTGATACGCACGTGGTACGGCAAATCGTCTTCTGACATCGCCAAAAGCCGGTCGTTAAAATACACCAAACCGGCGTTCGCCACTCCGGTTCCCTTCTTATGGTCCACCAGCCCGAACATCCCTCGCGCGTAGAATAGTAACAGCCGAGCAATTCCGGAGTGCCCGTGGAGTTCGCCAATCGCTTTAGGGAAAATCGGTCGCCCGAGCTGTTGTTCCTGAGCT